ACGCAACGATGATGCCCAAATTGGTTTGCGAATTACCAATAGCACGGATTAATCGTTCCGAAAATGACACTTTCTACTACAAAAAAAACTCACTTTTCGATCAATTTACCGGGAACTATGCCAGGAGTCACTTAGTGAGAAAAAACTGATAATTTATATCAAGCGAATACCGAGAAAACTTCCAAAACAACGGAGCGCGAAACAAGTCGACCGTACTTCTTGCTGGGACGCAGTGAGATGATAAAACACAAATAAATGCTTCCAGAATTTGGATAGGATAACATATTGAAAAATGTGTTAATTATGTGTCAAAAAATTGAATGTTGCTTTGAAATACTATATATCGTGTGAAATTTCGATTTTCGATTTTACATCCGTTCATTAATTTTGAACGACCATCCCGCCCAAGTAACAATAAGGGTTTTATGAGGGTTCTGAAGACCATGATTAAGACTTGTGGAATGCTTTAAACCACAATAAAACTTGCAATGTTACTTGGGCGTTGTGGCTGTATCACAGCATTGCTAATTATGTATATATCTATATCTTTTCCAGTACCATTGAATCAACAAAGTAAAAGTGAAAGGAGAACTACAAAATGAAGCACATGTGATACGAGAATGGAGTGATGCTCGTTAAAAAAATATCCGGAGATGGGCACTGTTTATTTGCCACGCTGGTGTTACAGGAACTCACCCGTATTTTTTTTTATAAGTGACCCCTTCCGTGTTGAGGTGGTGCGATAAATAAAAAAAATAAATATCATAACCACTAGACCGATTTTTTGTTATCAAAAGTTCAAATGAAAGTTTAGTTTTGAGAATAATATTAACATAGACTTCCCTCCCCTTGGCTAGTTTTTGCACCTTGCTATTGGTGGGCGGGCTTAATTTCATGCTTTATAGTGGAGTGTTGGAGACGGTATTTGAGTTAACTTATTTCTTAGTGTTCAAGTACTTACATTTGTAAACAGCAGTCAATGTTAATCTACGAACTAAACCATACGTAAAATCGATCTTTCCTTATGTGGTATTGATGCATGTTTAACTGTTCGCAGCCGTCGGAATCAACGCGTCTACGTCTACGTAGCTTACGCAGAAGTGATTCGCAATGCGGTAGAGCTCACCAAAAGTTTTTTTGAACTTCTGTAGTTGAACAAAAAAAAAATAAAACATTTACAATTCGTTTTACATTAAATCTAAACCGTATATTTCAAACGCTAACATTTTTTCTTAGCCTTCGCTTTAGCCTTATACTTCTTTGAAGCCACAAATTCCGTATAAACCATCAAGCGAAATACCACAAACGTAACAGTTTTAGAAAAAAACGTTCTGTTTTCGATACTTTCTCCCTAACCAAAAATAACTCAGTTTTCTCAAAAATTGATCGTGCTTCAAAAAATCTAACTAAACGTATGGATTCAGGAAGGTCTATTCAACAAAATCCAATCGTAATAGTCAAAGAAAGGAGCCAAAATTCATCTTGGCTGAACATAAAAAACAAACTTTAACAAAAATACGTAGTTTTGGCTTGGTGTGTGCTTAAAAAATAATCATCACATATGAATTCAGTAAGGTCAATTCTATAAAATCTAAGAATAACTTTCAAAGGACAGTATCAAAATCCTACTTAGCAGAAAAGGAAAACAAAAAAAACCTTTTCGAATTGCAAACCCGGTTCAACCTTCACGTTTGGATTCAGCAAGGTCCATTCTAAAAAATACAAGCCCATTTTTCAAAGAAATGAGCCGAAATTCAACTTGGCTGAACAAGAAACCCAAATTTCCATAAAATACGTCCTTTTGAGAACTCAAATCCAGTTTTCTAAAAAATTGTGCATGCTTCAAAAAGTTTACCATCACGTTTGGATTCAGCAAAGTGCATTCTATAAAATTCGATTCTATTTACAAAATCAGAGCCGAAATTCAACTTGGCAGAACAGAAAATCAAAGTTTTAATGAAAATACGTAATTTTGTGAATTTAATCTCGGTATTCTCAAATATTGAAGAAATTCAACCCTCACGTACGGATTCAGCAACTTCTATTAAAATACAAGCCTATTTTACAAAGATAGAAGCCAAAATTCAGTTCAGAAAAACAGAAAAATTAATTTTCTATGAAAATACCTTCTTTTGTGAATATTAACCAGGTTCGTCCTTCCGGTATTCAGCAAGTTCCATTCTATAAAATCCAAGCACAAATTTCAAAAGATTGAACCGAAATCCAACCTGGCTTCAAAAAAATCTACCATCACGTATGAACTCACAAAGGTCTATTCCATAACATTCAAGTCTGTTTTTCAAAGGACGGAGCCAAAATCCAACTTGGCTGATCAAAAAACCTAAATTTCTATAAAAATACGTACTTTTGTGGATGTAAACCCAGTTTTCTCAACAATTGTGCTTGCATTAAAAAAAAATCTACCATGAGGTATGAGCACACGAAATCTCAGCCTAATTTTCAAAGGATGTGAATCTCACAAGAACGAGGAACGGATAGAAGGGAGCGGAATCTACGTTAAAAGTTAGGTACATCACTTCAGGAAAGCTCAGACTAACATTCAATATAATTCAATCACTCAACAGAAAAGTTTGGACTCCCTAAGGAAGGTTTTGAACCACTTCAGAAAAGGTTGGACACCATTTGGAAAATTTAAGCTCAAAAAATTGTCGGTTCACTTCGGAAAACTTTCAACACTTTCACTAAGCAAGATTGTGTCCTTGCCAAATGCCAAAGCAGTTAACAAAAATCTGAAGCTCACTTGGGAAAATATCAAACCCGTTCTGACTAGTTTGGTTTCAGTTCGGAAAAAGTTGAATCAATGCAGGAAACCTTGGATTCATTTGGGAAAAGGATTAATCAGGTAATGTTGCCTCACTTCAGAAAATGCGAAACCAAATCATTAAAGATTGGCTTTGGAATATGTTGAATCACTTCAGGAAAGTTTTGACAACTTTAAAAAGAATTGAATAACAGAACAGAAAAGTTTAGACTCAGTTAGAAAAATATTGATGACTTATTCGAAAGTTTGAACTCACTTCAAAAAAGTTCAGACTCAGTTTTGAATCTGCTTTGAAAAGTGTCACCTCAGTTAGGAATTTCCTGAATCGTTTCTAATTTGGTCTCACTTCTAAAAATTTTAATCCAATTTTGAAAAGATGGTATTTAGCTCGGAAATTGTTGAATCACTGTAGAAAATAAGTGAATCATTAAGTATCATTGCAGAAGGTTTGTAAGTTAAGAAATGTAGATCGAATGCAAAAATCTGGCGACTATGGTGAGCTGGGCACATCGTAATATTGTCGGATAACGATCCACTGAAAATGGTTCTTTGTAGTGATCCGACTGGGACAAGACGAAGATGTGCGCAACGAACAAGAGGGATCGATCAGATTGAAGATGGCTTACCTAGTGAGTTGCCAAACAAGATTAGGAATGATGTTCGATAAAATCCGTTTTCAACAACTGAAACCGGCTGATCCGATTTCAAGGACCTGTCATGCCGTACTGGTCAAGTACCAATTTATGTGAAAATTCCTTAAAAGAACAACATAATAAAATCTAGCAAAGCGAGTATCGATACCCAAATGAATTTGCGAAAAATAAATATACACTGAAAGTTTTATTTTATTTCCCCCTTGGTGATATTTCAAAATTTTGAAGGGGGGGGGGGGTGACAAAACGCAAACCAACATAACCGTCGGGTAGGGGAAGTCTTCTCCTACCCGATGGTGTTGTTGATTTGCATTGGCAAGCCTCAACTATCTAGAAATCATCAAAAGAAATCATTGTTTACAAAAGCTGTTACGCCCTAATTCCAGCTCTATCTAGAAATGTACAGCAAATGTACACAAAATTTGGTATTAAATTAGACAATTCCGTAAACTGATATCAAATTATGATTTCAGTTTGATGTTGATATCAAAACTTGATTTCAATTTGCTGTCATTTTGATGCTGGACTTTGCTGGGGAGTTTTGCTTGTTTTGGAAGGGGTCTTATTGTTGAAATTAACGGGTCAGATGATTTAAGGACCAATGTTCGTTCAGTTAACCGGTTACTACAACAAACACCGAGAATCACATTCCGGGAAGAACAAGGACCACTGTTCGTTCAATCAATCGGTCACTACTACCGACACTAGACCAATCGGAGTTCAGTCACTTTTTTAAGACTACAATACACTGAAAATAAAATTTAGTATGTACAACGAATGCGTTTGTTTGTGCCACGAATTCATTCGTTGTTTTCTGCAACGAAATAAATTCGTTGTGTATACGAAGCTAGTTTCGTTAAAATCCCCAAAATAATTTTGTTCGTAACATTCTTATATCTTACGAAACATTGCCACACTGGCTACGAATATTTCAGAAAATAAATACAAATAATTCGTGTAAATAGCCCAAAATTTGAGAATACTACGAAACATTCGTTTACATACAAAAGAAGGGAAGCGAAAATTTCGTTGCAATGAAAAATGGTCGCTTCAGTTTAGCCAAAATTAAAACTTTATTGAAAATCTTTCACTTAGCAACTCTCACAGGCTTGTAGAAATCGAACAGCTTGTCTGGCTTCTGGTGCGATGGTAGTATTTATTTATTTATTTATTTATCACCGTCTTCGAGTAGTCGTACAGACTGAACTATTTTACTTATAAACTAGAAATTACTACTAATCCTATTTCTAAAAACGTTTTTAATCAAGTTAAAATCGAATTCGTCACAGACAACATTGAACAAGCGAAGACACTAATCGAAAGGGTTGTTGTAGCCGTAGTTTGTTCTGTGGTATGGGACTGCTACTGTAGAGACTCTACCGCATTAGGATCTCCTGAAGCCTTGTGAGGTCCAAAGTCCATATTCTACGGCAGCATGTCACCGATGAAGAGAACCCGCTTCGATTGAGTCGCTTTGAACCTCTCCTGAAGATTATCAAGCAGCTGGCCGGTTGCACGTTCCAGTAGCTCGAAATTTTTATTTTCGATGTGATGATCATAGAGAATTATGCAGCGCCCACTATCAGGATGCTGTCCAGATTGCGGTCTGGGTGCGCCAGCCACTGTGAATCGGCTTCATTCTCGTCGAAGAAATGATCGTCAGGCTGTGGAACAGATAGAAAGAGATAAGTTCAATCAGCAATTGTCACGCTTGTAAATTTCTCACTGAACTCACCTGACTGCTTGTTTCAGAGATGGTCCTTAAACAACTCGGCAGCGCATATAGGGTTACCATATGGTATCCTAAAGGAGGACATGTCCTCCTTTTTCAATAATTTTTCTACATCCTCCTTTTGCCCGAAAATGTCCTCCTTTTTAATCCTTGCATTTATTCCAGTTACATATTCATAAAATTGTTTTCAAAGAGCGTTGTTTGCAGAGCTTATTTGTTTAACCTCATCTTATCTAGCAAATACCATTCGATGGTGAGACTAGGAGTATACTACAGCTGTCAACCCCCGCACATTAAGGCTGCGATCCATTTGGTAAACTTTCACTTAAATTTGACAGATGGAAAATTTTCAAATAAACTTGCTTATTTCAGACATACCAGGAATCAATTTTGACAAATTATATTCTCGAAAGTTGGACGATGAACAACAGAGGGATCTTCAAACATTATAATTTATTTTCGAAGTATCAGTGAAAATTCATCAAATGTAACACTGCGTTCCATTTTTTCTGAATGTTTACTTAAATTTGACATTTCGAAAATAAATTACAATGTTCGAAAATCTCTCTGTTGTTGATTGTGTGATTTCCGAAAAGGTGTTTGCCAAAATTAATTCCTGGTCTGCCAGAAATAAGTCTGGTACAATCGATGTCAATCATACAAGGTCTGGAACAACAGGCAGCTTGCTAGTGTTAGAGGCAAAAATGTTGTAAACATTGCTGAGCAAGCGAATGCCGATGTCACGGCAGCACAACATTCTATACTGCGATTAGCAGACGTGTCGTCACAGAAAACAGCTGTTTCGTGTAAAAAGATAAACATTGCGATGAAATACGACCACCACTAGACATTTTCACATTTCACTAATACCAATAAGCCGGTTGGGCCAGACCTTGTATAATTGACATCGTGGTACAATAGCATGTTTATTTGAAAATTTTCTATCTGTCAAATTTAAGTTAAAATTCACCAAATGGATCACAACTACACACATTGAGTTGCTTCAGTACTGCGGGCGTCCATGTACGGGCGAAAGCCTTCAACCGTACGGACGCCCACGGCACTGAAGCAACTCGTCAGCTGGGGCCTTAGCGGCCATATCATCCATTTCGTCCAAAATTTCTTGACTAGCCTCGGTAGATAATACAATACCAAATCCCGCACTTTCCGCGAGGAAACTGGCGTTCCCGAAGGTTCAGTGATCGCTGTCACTTTGCTCCTGTTAGCAATGAACAGTGTCTTCGACTGGTTACCAGCGAACGTCTGCATTTTCGTGCACGCAGGCGATGTTCTAATCGTAGCCACAGGTCAAACTCCGGGACGAACGAGGATTAGAGCCCAAGCATGGGTTTTTGCCGTTGCCAGATGGGCCGCTTCGAAAGGTTTTCAGCTGTCTGCTGAAAAGAGCGCTAGGTGCCACGTTTGCCAGTATTGACATCTGGTCTGCGGGCCTTCCATAAAGATCGGTAATCAAGCTATCCCATTGAAGAAAACTATGAAACTGCTGGGGGTTGTCATTGATCGGTCTCTCAGTTTTAAACACCACCTTCAAGGGGTCAAGGCCAGCTGTCTCCCGTACCCACCGGTCCAACAACAAAGAAGTACGTTTTCGTGTTGCCCGGGCCATTGTAGACAGCCGGCTGATGTATGGACTCGAGCTGACCGGCATCGCCACCGACAAGGCAATACAAATACTCGCTCCGGTGTACAATAGCTACACGCGCATCATCTCCGGTCTCCTATCCTCGACGCCAGCCGATGCTAGCTGTGTCGAAGCCGGCATTCTCCCTTTCCGGTACCGCATCTATGCAGCCATTGCCAACAAAGCCGCTACATTTTCAGCAAATACCGCCGGAAACGACAGAATCTGCCTCCTTAGCGAGAGGGACAGAGTTCTCCGTACAATCGCCAACGCAGAGCTCCCCTCAGTGGCCAAGATTCACTGGTACGGAGATAAAAGTTGGCAATCTCCCGCACCAAACATCGACAGCCGGATAAAGGAGAAGTTCAGAGCCGGGGACAATTCCGTAGCCCTTGGGAGATCGGTAACAGAGCTGACCGGATTGTACCCAAACTACATGCATCGTTACACGGATGGGTCAAGATCGAGAGCTGGAGTCGGAATGGGAATCGCTGGTGACATTTCCTCAACGAGTAGAAATCTGCCAAAACAATGTTCGGTGTTCTCGGCAGAAGCAGCGGCTATTCTTCATGCCGTCACGGTTCCTGCGGATCGCCCAATCCTGATCCTGTCGGACTCCCGCAGTGTTATTCAGGCCCTTTCGTCGGAGGTTCCGGTTCACCCCTGGATCCAGGGCATCCTGAAGATTGCGCCACCAAACACTACCTACACATGGATTCCCGGACACTGCGGGATCCCAGGGAACATCGAGGCGAACAACCTACCTGGGTCAGGCCCATCTGATCCTCGGTACTCGCACAAGGTACCGATGCAGGACGTGAATAGATGGATCACTTGCACAGCGCAGACAGCGTGGACAACGGAATGGTCCAGTGCCAGACTTCCGTTTAATAGAAAAATTAAATTAAATAAAAAATAAATAAATCAAACAACAGATTGAATGCAATACGTTTTCGATTTTGACGTTCTGTTTCTATGAGATTTTAGGTATTCCAAGCATAAATATTCAAATCGACGTATCTGATTTTACAAACAGTCACTTCGGTTTCAATCAGCGATGACGTGTATCTTGATTTTTGTACATTATAAAATTTCAGATGGTTTTAAGGCTGTAAAGCTGTAGTTTTCATGCAAATAAGCTAGACTAGATCATTTTCAAGTATCAAACATTAATTATGAGGGCTACTTTGATGCATTTTTCAAAAGTATAACGAGAAGATTAATTGAATTAATAACGAGTACAAGTTATGAACAATCTCAATTAAACCTTTGCAAATCATGAATTTTGTGATAGCGCACATATTATTAAATCGTTTGATAAAAACTCATTGTCCTCCTTTAATGTTAAGAAAAGAAATAATTGTCCTCCTTAATCTCCAAACCTAAAATGAAATGTCCTCCTTTTCAAGTTTTTGATGTGGTAACCCTAAGCGCAGAAGACTTAAACTGTCATGTTGTTCCTCCTCAAATAGCGAACCATAGTCACACAACACCATTTCAGTCCGACGAGGACACCACCGCATCGAAAACAAAATCGATTTTTGATACGACGTACACAATCTCACTTCAAAATGTTTGTTTACTTCTGACTCGTGAACATTCATACTACGAACGAAAGTAATTAGTGCCTCAACGAATAGATTCGTAATGTTCACGAATAACGTGCTTATAAAAGCTTGTTTAAACGAATGATTCTCGTAGGTGAACAAATGGTTTCATAGTATTCACGAATGCACACATGATGTTTGTAGGCAGTGTTGACATCCATACGAAAGACTGTTCTTGTATTGTACGAATTATGCGTAATGTTGGCATTGTATATGTTGAAATGCAATACGAACGATTCGCACAAATAACGAAACAATTGTTATATCTACGAAAATCATTTTTACGAAATGACCGTGAAGGAAATAACGAAATAATGTTTTCAGTGTAGACAACGGAACTCACCTGCCACGAGAAACTGCCGGTTGTCCAGTCAACCGGTCACTACAATTTAGAATTTGGAATCAAAACTTTTACCACACGTGGGTTTGCAACGCATTTTTTTTTTGCATGCCTACTTCGATTTTACGGACTTCGAATTTTCTTCCTTCAACACCAAGAGAAAGTGACGTATGAAGGAGCCTCTATGTACAAATGCAAGAAAACGATTATCTGTACACGGTTTACTATAGTTTGGATTTCACAAAAACTAAAAACGCACGTTTTGGCACTTTCAGACCACTGTGCGGTATGTTTCAGGCTGCTCCCAAATGCGTTGAAGAAATTCAGGCAAATAGATAGGGTTCTTTAAGGGTATTGAGCTAAATGCATATTCGTAATCTGCATTGAAAATGGACCCCAAACCCAAAATTTCATCAATTTTGGTACACTGAAATTATTTCAAATAAGTACGATTGCATTTGCTAAAATCACTTTATTAGTGCCCCTCGGTGTCACTTTGTATGGAAGCGAGCTGTCAGTTTGTTAGTTTAGTGTCAAACAGTAGAGTTATTATTTTGCTTTAAATCTTGAATTTAAAATCGAGATGAAAGTGTGTGCGTTCGAAAAAAAAAATCGCTGTGCTCAGAAAACAAAGCTCTTTTAGATGATGCATAAAAAACGATACATTTTTCAGAATTAAAGAATCCAATTGTTTTAAAAAAGGTCGTACAAAACTCATCTAAATTAAAAATTGTGTGGGATAATCCTAATTTTATTAACATTCTATTGGTTTCAATTTTTCAAGCTTCAATCTTTGCTTGAATTGAAAATTACGAAAAAGTTGCGGAAATTAAAACCAATTGCAACCATATTGATTAAATCCAACTTTGACGTTTTAAAATAATTTTGTAATTTATGGTTTATTTGGGCGATTTTTGGGTTTTCTTTTTGGCGTTTTCTGGACTGTAAATTTGGCTTTCAATAAATTCAGGATTTTAAAGCCAGTTTGGATATTCCATGCCATTTTTTAATTTTTTCGGGCCATTTTTGGCGTTTAAGGACCATTTTGACATTTCAGATGTAATTTTAAAAAATGGTTATAAGAGTTGTCTGGCCGTTTTAGAGATTTGAAGAACAAACTATTCTAGGGCATTTTAGTGCTTTGATGCCATTTGAGTCATTGCAAGCTAGCTTATAGTTATGTTGTGCTCATTTTTAATAATTTGGCGTCTCTACACACTGCATTCAGCTCACCGGGTTTTTCAACAGCTGGAAAATTAGATAAAAATAAATAGGGTTAACTGTACAAAGTCTGCACAAGTTTGGAATAAAATATCAATTATAAAAAAAATAACTGATTTTTT